TTTTAATGCTTACTCAAGATGAAACTCGCTAAAATTAGAATGGCCTACAACACAGTAAGTTTTACATATTTTGTGTGGTGTTAATGATTTTCTGAAGAATAATATAGTCCAATACTAACTGCTACAAAATTTGATACAGCTCTTGATATATATGTCGAATCCGAAATTTTTTTTAAACATTTATTTAGAAATTATCTAAGTTAATAGGTAGCTAATTTCTACTTAAAGTCATTCATAATTTCTCAAACTGCTTGCATGGAAATTCACAATTTTTTTACCTGTGGCCACAATAACAACAAGTATAAAGCCGACATTTGGCATGAACAGCAGCGACATGCCTTTTCAGTGCTGATGGACTGTCAACGGTCACTGTACAATATTTACACTTATGATTCATAACGTGACGGCGACAATGTTCACGTAACAAACGTTGAGTACCAAATTGTTTTTGACATAAATGACAGGAATAAATGGTCCGAAGCTCTCCGTTTTCCAGCATTTCTGGTCCTACAATTAGAAACAAAAGTAGAAAAAAGAGATGTGTATAAAAGTCTTTTTAAAAATTTATGGAATGCTTCAGCAAATTATATATCTTCTGAATAATTTATTTATGGAGTTAAAAAACCTCCTCCAATACCGTAAAAATAGTGCAAAAAGTAGGAAATTCCTTTCCTATTGAAAACTCCTCGTTGAATTGTGTCAATCTTTTTCTTATACTAAGTTTTGCAAAAACCAATTATTGGGTTTATCTTTGAACTAGGTATGAAGATACGAAGGCTGTATTCAGTGTTTCTATAACTTTCTCTTATGTTACATAAATGATTAGCATAAAATCATGCGACATCAGTATAACAACATTATCACTCAATGGTAAAAAAAAAAAGTAAATCACCAATCTGATTTTTACGAAGCATATGATCAATCAATTTTGAGTTATTAGCAAAGAAAACGCCACAGTATGGACAAGCTGCCGTCTTGTCACCCGAATGGTGCCGACAGTGTACCCGAAGATTGGCTTTGTTCTTGAAATGCATTTTACAACCTTAAAAACAAACCAAACAATGAAATTGTCCAAATTTGATAGTACTTTGTTTTCAACATTTTAGGCTCATGTGTAACATAAATAAATCAAAAATATTCAAATGAAGAAAATAGTCATGCGTGAACAAAATAACGGTTATATATTTCAGCAATAATAATGTGCAGTTCAATTTAAAATAAAAAAATTGGTTACCTTGCCAACCGCAATTTAATTGGCATCGTTGATCACGATCCATGACATCAAGTGAATCGACATGATCATCAACATGATTGCAATATAAATCGATATCATCCCAAAGAGTCTTAAAAATTCAAAAAAGAAACTTATAACAGATTTTAAAATAATCAACGAAGAAAAAGTTGATGAATTATACTAACGCTACAGTTAACCCATCCACATGCCATCGCTGAACCATCATATATTAACTCCATAGATGTACGAAAACCACAACTGAAATAATTATTGCAAACTATGCCAAATTTAATTAACTGTGTATAATTTATGAAAAAAAAAAAAAAAAAAAAAAAAAAAACTTGAATTATCTTTGAATGCAACCTATTCTGTGATTAATAGATAACTTATGGAGGTAAGAAATAAAGTCTATCAAAACGTACTGATATGAAACCTATCATCTCATTAGTCGAACAGTTTATAAGCAAATTACAAACAAATGTTTTAAGAAATGGTAAAAAAATGAATGGAAAATACAATATTAACTTATAAGTTTTAAAAAGTAAAACATTGTAACTTTATAATGACAAATATTTTATTAGTTTTTCCAATAATTTTTTTTTCGATTCTTAACATATCATACTCATATTAATGCAACTGAAATAAAACAAAAGTTAGAGTAAGTTCTTTTCTTCTTTTCAATTTCTATCTTTCACTTCATCGTGTTATCATCTCAGCTTAACCTATAACATCTAATTAGTTATGTAAATCGTTAATATCTTACAATGCATATATATAGCAAAACTTTTTTAGTTAAGTACAAACATACTGTGGGATGTTTGCTACATCATCTCGACTGAAAATAACATTTAAACCAGTCCATTGTCGTCGAATATGATAATTGTGCATGTAAAGATGACGATATAAATGATGTTCTGTAGCAAGTATCTTACTGCATCCACTTATTGGGCATACAATAATACTACCATCATTCTGATTTTGAACTACAAAAAACAGAGAAACATAATAAGATACCAAATTATGCCAAAACTTAAAATACTATTTCAAAAAAACAAAACAAAAAAAGAAAAAGTAAAATCACAAATGAAAAGTAATTCAAACCTGTTAACTGTTCTATATGAGATCGTATATGTTGTAGTAAATCATTCAAAGTATCGTATACCATGAAACAGCTTGACCATAAACATTTGAAATAAAACTGGAATAAATAAGAATTGATCAATTAACAAAGATAATCTTAGATCAGTTAAACTATATTTCATTCTCTGAAATGAAAAGAAGAAAGAAAAAACTATTGACATACTAAACATATTGAGTACGAATTCATAATTTGTATAAAACAAAAGCGATACATATCTTAACTTTGATATAATAAAAATATCTGCGTATTAATTATTCTTCCCTCTATTTTTATCACTTGATAATGAAATCAGATAACCTAAGATGAACCGCATTTCATTCCATCATTGTAGCTTTAGTTTCAGTTTCCATCTTTGCTTAGTTTATTAGTCGAGTATTTCCAGTCAACTTTTTAAAGTCTTGTCACACGTTTATTTGTGAATGACAATTTCGTGTGATAAAGTAAAATTATAGTTCGAATCTTTAGTAACTTAAAATATGTCTTGAAATTTAAACTTTACTCTTCTCTAACATAAATAAATGAAATGAATACTTCTTTATCTTGAAGTCGAGTAATCCATGCCATTGGTTCACCGGAACCTGTTGCTACAGGTACATCCACTGGTTGAAGAATAATCGATTCAAATTGTTCCATTATATAACTATGTTTTGTTAAACAATAATATACACTGCAAGAAAGAAGAAAACAAAAAAATACAAAAAACTAGCGCTAATTTATAAATTAATACTTAAATAAATCAAATTCTTAGCAACTAAATTTAACCTTTGATACTAGCATTTTCATGCTACGTAAAAACTGATAGTTGCATATCAAATTTTTTTTTAACTGCTGTAATTATTCATCATTTTCATGTCTTAGTCTAACTTTTGTATGTATTATTCATGCTAAGCTTTCTTTTAATATGTATGGCTGATTTTTTCAAATTAGCAAGTACTAATTAACAATAAGAAATTCTTATATAAAACATTTCATAAATCATTTCTTGTCATTCCATATTTTTTCTAGCTATTTCTATGAATATGGGTATATCTTTGATGCAGGTATATTTTTGAGTATAGATATATTTAAGTATTATTATTGCGGCATATATTCTTAACATTATAATCGAAATATGAAAAAAAATCTTTTCATATTTCTTTCATACTTCATTGCAAACTATACGATAGCACAACTTTTCAATAAAAATAAAAAATTGAAAATCTATTTTAAAAAAGTAATACCAAATAAATTTCATATTAACACTAACAATTTAACAAATTGTATCAGTTAGTAGTAACAGAAATTAAAATAATTTTTCCGAACTAATTAAAAACTATTTTAAGCAAATAATAAGTGAAAAAAAAGTTAGAATTGCTTTAACAATTCCATTAAACAAAATTTACAATTCCATTAATTGTAAATTTTTTTTTATTCCATTAAACAAAATTTTAACAATTCCATTTTAACAATTCCATTAAACAAAACAATTCCATTAAACAAAATTTACACGTGATAGCAACAATAACAAAATAAAATTATGAAAATATTTCAAAAAAAAAACTAGAATGATTAAAGATCAACGGAATATGAGAGAGTGCTTATGTGGTAAAGAAAGAGAGAAAATCAGAAAAGAATACATTCCAGTTCTAGATACAAAGATTGAGAAACATGAAAAAAAGCATTAAAACAAGTGAGAGACAGGGAGTGAAAACGTCACAAACAAACAAAAAAAAAAAAAAAAGAAACGTGGAAAAAAAAGAGGCAATTTCAAATTCTTGCAATTTGTATTTGCAAAAGGTTGTAGTTCAAGCTGCGACTGAGAGGAAACTATCGTTACTATTTCAGGTTAGCCTGAAATCAACTATTCCATTTCAGGTTGTTTGTTATGTTTACTTTCACTTCAAGGCTTGTAGAATTTCTGAAGTATTTCTTATATTATCACTTTTTTTTTTGCAATTTTTAAGCTTATTTTCGAGCCACAAAAATAGTATTTGATATGTTTAATAAGATTTTTGTGATTATTGTACATACTATTTATTCCAATATTTTCAGATTAATATTACTGTTTGTGGTCCTCTTTTTTTTTGAGCTGATTAAATTACAATGTGTGTTTTTTTTGGTTTACCCTTGCTTACTACCCTTGTTTACTTAATATTTTTTGGTTTTGCCATGTTTTAAGTATTTACTGTTTATTTTTTGGTTCTACCATATTGAAACTTTTTTTGCGAGAATACATGTGTGTATTATTAATTTATGTTGCATATGTTTATTGTTGCCGACGTAATTATTATTACTCATTAAATTTCAACATTGTTTTTCTTACTTATAAGAATTAAGTTGATTATTATTTAGTTATTTCTTATCCATATTCATCTAATGCTAAATTAATGTACCGATGAATAGAATTGAAGTAGAATGCTATTTGTTCAAATTAATTTATCTATTACTCAATTGCCATTATTTTATATATTATCTAGCATTTATTAAAAATTTGAAATAATTTGTATCGATTATATAACTTAGTACTACTAGTTATTTGACGTGTAGTTTTATTAGTTTGATTCGTTAAATAGTTGCTCAGTTTGTTGACCAATGTATTTTATCCTATTTTTTTTCTTTTTTTTTGTATGTAGAAGTAAACCTAAAATGTCGGTCGGTGGCATCGGTGTTTATGATCAGCAGCCACAAGTATCGCAAGACACGTTCGTAGTGGTTGGTGAACCGGATGTGATGAGAAGTCAAGAAATTACTACGAATGATGTGGCGAATGATGTTACATATGAAACCGGAAAAGATTGCCATCGGGTTAGAGTGTTTTTAATTAAGTAATTGAAATTTCCAATTTGAAACATTTGAAAATTAATGTATACAATTAGCAGTTTTTGTACAATTAGCGGAGTGAAGATTTGGAGGTTGCATTTAATCAGATATAATGTTGTAGAGTAATTTGCGATTCATAATGACAAATATTTGTATTTTTCTCGAAAAAAAATTTAAACTTTGCAAATGTTTAGTTTTATTTCTAACGTACATATTTGAAAAATCATGTTCTGCCTTCGAATTCGTTCGATGAAATTTTTGGAAGTTCAATGGTAGTATTTCATACTGGATGAGCAGTTTCGAAAAACGATGATTTTATATTTCTTATTTTTATGTTTAATCGCTGGGAAATACACTAATCTTGTGAAGTTCCTTTTTTCTTTAAATCATGATAATGAATTTGTTAGATAAATTTTGAAAAATTCAAAAATTTATATAAAACTAAATGCCATAATGATTAGGATTATGATGAATCAGAAATAATTCTCATGTTTTTAAAATGAACAATAAAAGCAGATCATATGATATTAGCATTCTTCTAAATGACTAAAAGAAACATTTAATCGGAAATGTTTTGAAAATATTTATTGTAAGCTAACATATTTGTTTTACAATAAATCCCTTTTCCTTAATTGATGCTTTTTTTTTCTCTCTCAATAAAATTTATCTCTGCTTAGCTTTCTTATGGTGCATTCTGAGGATAATGGTTATTATTTCAGGAACCTGATAATGACAATGTTGCACCTGAAGCAACAACGGTATTAGAAATTGGCAAACGTCGACCAGTATATTTGACGGATGCTGGAGCAGAACAATATGGCCAAGAAAGTGGTTGTAGTGTCACAAAGATTCCTCGAAATGATAATTGTTTAGAAAGTCCTGAGCGTTTATTGCCACAGGGTGATAGCGTATATCATGATACAGGTATGTTGGAGTTTAAATGAACATAAAAATGATAAAAGGATAAGAAATTATAACTGTTTTAATTTGAGAATTTAAATAAATCATTATTTTATACGCTCAGGATTGGTTGGTACTGATGATGATGGTGAACATCAGACGTTACATGATATTTCACGTTGTGCACCACGTGAAATTACTTATGAAACATCACAATGTGATGTGCAATCACAACACTGTAACATACAACAGCAACGTTGCAATATACACTCACCACATTGTGATGTGCAAGTGTCGCTTTCAAACAGACGAATAAGTTTTCAAAATAAATCATCAAATTTTATTTTTATATACTCATGTGAGTAAAAATTTTTAGAATTTCAAAACATTTTGAGAGATCTTACTGATAACAGCGTTTATTTGGTTGATTTAAGTTCTGAATGCATTTTTAGGCTAATCGTCAAGCGCATCCTAGGGAAAAGAATAATGTAAAAAATGAAATTGACTCTGACGAAAATACATCTCACTTATTGATCAGTTTAAGTAATGCATTAAATCCTGCTGAAGCGGAATATATTGATCGTTACCGTCCAAAAGGGCGTCCAAGAGGTAAAATTTTTGATTAGAATTATTTGAAAGTGTAATTAAATCTTATTTATTGTTCATGATTTTTTTTTCTACACTAGCAAATTAATTTATATTTTTTTTACACTAGCAAATATTATTTTATATGTAAAATAGACGAAATTTTTATTTCATTAAGTTTGATTTTACTTGCAACTATATAATTTTATGTTGTGTTATCGTTATCAGTTGTTTAGTTTTATCTTCTCTTCACCATCAGATTTAGGAATTTTACGGTATGTAATTTTGATAGTACCATTATTTGTAAGCTTGCATATAATATCTGTTTAACAAACGAAAGCAGTTATTTGCCTTTTTTTTTTTTTTTTTTTTGTTCACTTGGTTTAGGTTGCAACTTTTTATGACTATCCATCAATTAATAGCAATCATTTTTTGGTTAATTTTGCAGGTCCCAAGCATCCTGTTTGGAATTTTTTCAAATTTTACAAATCTGGTGGACTTACTTTGGGTTATATGTGCCTGATGTGCGGCAATGGATTTACTGGCCCACCAAATACCACAAATGCTACAAAACATCTCCGTTGTAAACATAAACATGAATATTTACTGTATTTTGATTTACTGGAAGGTGCAAAGCAAGGGACATTCTTCGGTGATGTGCATCAGTCAATTAGAGAGGTTATTTTTCAAATTCTTTCTAATTCTTTTTTTTTATGGTTTCTGTTTTTACATAAATTCATTTTTGGTTTATTTTATATTGAGAGGAAATAGTCTGAAGAAAGTAATGTTTTATTTTCAGATATTATCATATGTAAAAAAAAAAGAACTAATAAACTTTAATTAGAGTCATTCATATTGATAGATAATAAGCAATAGTTCATTTTTGCCGCACAAAATTTTATATTAGTTGATTGCGACCCTCATAAGGAACTCTATTCGACATATTAGTAATGTAATTTTTCTCTTTATTAGCTGCTTATATACTATTTTCTTCCATTATGTTATAGCAATATCTGTGATGTTTAATTTATCATTGCTAATGAACTATTTCAGCTTGTTTCAAAAAGAGGTGTCAAAGCGGAAGCATGCACTTCGGAAGGTAATACTGCTGAAGGTTCCATTCTGAACTATGAAGTCATGAATGATGGTTAGTGGGATCATTTATTTATTTTTGCTTAATTAATATATAACATAAATCATATTGTAAGAATAAAATGATGAATAGTTGTTAGTTATATTGTTATCAATGCTATAAATAAATGATTGATGAATAAGTTAGAGTTTTAACATTTTCTTATATACACCAAATTATATACATCAATAGCTGCTTGTATACTATTTTCTTCAGGAAATTTCTGTAAGCGATCTAAATCATGGCGTATTATTGTCTAACCATTATTATAAAAATGTATTTTAACTTTTTCTGTTATCAGGCACACATCGGAATCATGATTGGACGGATGATACTACCGGTAACTCACAAGATGCTGAACTTCACTCTTTTCTCTGTTCTGCACTAATATCAAATGCTGTGAGTTTTATGGTCATTGTTTAATTACCTAATTTAACTGAGTATTTGAAATTGTTTAGTTTTGGTGATTTATTAAGAGGAAAAAATTACTTTTTCTTGAAGTTCAAGTTTTAGAAATATAGGACATTCAAGTGACGTGAAATATATAATAATTTCATTATAATATTATTATAAAGTAAAAGCAACATTAGAAAAATAATAAATAATGAAATGCCGTTTGGTCGGTCCATTCAGGTGCTAGCAAGAAAATGGAAATTTTTTTTAAAAGGATTATTAATAGTACTAAAGGTAGTAATATAAAATAATGAAATAAGAAAAGCTAAAGTTCTTTCCTACCTTTAAATTCTTAAGTGACATTTTTTGTTAAAATTTCAACGCCATTTTATCATGAACGTATGCTTGTGTCTGTTGCAGTCTAAAAATTCGCTTGTTCGATATGATGTAGGCAATGGTGGTGAGAATTCTGAAGTTTCATCATCTGGCGAAGTTATGTTCACTGGTTCATCTACTGGGTAAGGCAAATATATTTGCTGCGTTAGCTTGGCTAAAGTTATATAATTTGAATATTGCTGAAAGCAAGATGTATTTGTCGTGAATTTCAGTGCAATATTTCATAATAAATTTATCTTTTAACTTAGTGCATGTTTTAATGCGTTTGAATTTGAGGATAAATTGAAAGTGAATCGGAATATTATTATTATTTTTCTCAGCTGTGGTAGAGACGTAACAATGATAAATTGGATGATACTGATTACTAATGCCTTACTCATATTATTTGTACTAACTTCTCAATATTTTCTGTTTACAGAGATACCGAAGCTGGTTCATCAGCTGTAAGTAGTGATTCTATGGGACATTTTGCTGGTCAAGTTGAGTCATTCCTTCGTGATTATCGTCGTTTGGAAGCTGAAGTTTGTCTTTTCTAGAAGACATATGCTGAAGTTGATATTAAAATATACGGGATGGTTTTATAATTTCGAAAAAAAAAAATTTGGATAAAAATTTTAAAAATATTAGGTGGGAGTATTTTAATTTGTTACTCTTAAACTGTTTGATATTTGTATTAAACACATTACGGGTAAAAGATGAAAAATAAGGTCAAATTTTTAGTTTGGTTCTCCCTTATGTGAGCTATTCTTTGATGAAACTCCGATGAACAAGGAAAGAGATAAGATCTGTTAGATTAGGCATGCACATGAGATGTTGATGGAAAACGATTATCATTGATTGTTTCCTACATTACCAACTTTTTTTTTTTTTTTTTTTTTGTAGTATTATTGTTTCATACTTTTCGTTATCTACATTTTTGGGTACGGGTAATTGTTTCATGTGTTATTCATTAGATAATGATTGTGTGATTGAGCAGCTGATTGTGATATTATTTCTATCTTCATTATTTATTCTATTTTTAAAATTTAATAGTTATTTCAGTGTCGAAGATTACGTGCTGAAGTAGCTGCCAAAGATGAACATATCAAAACGCTTCGTTTAAATTTGATGGAAGAAAGGAATAAGCGAAAAAGTGCACTGATACTTGTACAGCGTGCATTAATCGATGAATGAATGAATAATTTAATAATAATTGTGAAGAAATTTTTGTTTTTATCAAATTCTTTAACAATTAGCTAATTGTAATTCTTTTTTTTTGCATAGAAAAATTTATTATTTCATGAAAAAGTGATTTTTTTCTTAATCTTCTCTCTTACTTTCATTTCCGATAATGAAATTTAATGTCTAATATTCATGTATTTAATTATGTAAGTCCCATAGTTTTACTTTTAACTTGCTGCCTTGTGATATGATAAACTGAATGGTAGAATTTTTCTGAATAACATTTTGCTCATATATATTTTTTATTGTGATGATGACAGTTATTTAGTGGATTTATATATTTCTTGATGTGAATTTTAATTAATTTACTTCAATTGTATTATAGTATGTTTATACTGTTTGTAGTGATTATTTCTCAAAAATAGCAATGTTTTTTTAGTGAATATTATTTGATTTGTGAATATATGATTTGTGTTCGTCGTTGAGAGGAAAATTATATCAATAATAATAATAATAATAATAGAAATTCATTTCTCTTTTTTTTTAGTAGTTTATTTCATTAATTGAATATATCCTAGTTAATATTATATGATTTTAGCACAATTAATTGTTTGTTTCATATTAGATGAGACTTATTTATTGGATTTACTCACTTAAAGATGGACTAGTATTATCTCTTCAACTTTTCCGGTTGATAGAATTTCCTTTTTTTTTTCTATTCGGTTGATGGAGCGTTTCTTTCCGGTTGATAGAACTCAATTGTTAGAACTGCTGCATATTAAACATCTAACAATACTTTGGTATTTATTTGCTTAGAAAAGGAGAAGTTAGATTAGAGAACATTAAGATGATAAAAAGAGTAAGAAAATGAACGAACGGAAGAAGCAAAAGGAAATGATAATCAGTTTACCATGTGTGATTTTATACAGCCTATACCAGATGTTACAATTCGTGGTGAAATTTACAATTGTAATTGTCGCATATGCTATTTATCTGAAGTAAGAAATAGAATGAAATTCCTAAAAATGTTTCTTTTCCTCTTCTTGTTTACTTCCTCTTTTTTGTATTTTCAGAAATTGTTTATTTTAATTTATTTAAAAAAAGAAAAAAATTACTAAAATTTTATGCTAAATTTTATTTCATATCTCTTTGTTTTATTTGTTCATCAAAAAACTTATTCAAAAAAAAAAAAAAAACATGTAGCATTTCTCCTCTTGTTAATAATAATGATGATGATGATGATATTTCAAAAAGTATTTTTATGCTTAATCTCATAAATAACTGCTATTATTCAAATTATATGATTAATAAGATAGGTTAAGCACATGGATAATCTTAAGAATGGAAAAGTTTATCCACTTCAAATCATAACTGTTACTAAGATTAACAAAAAATAAAAGAAAAGTAAGGAAACAAAAATTTTTGTAATAATAAATTCTAATTTTCATTTCTAGTACTGTGTTTTTTTTTTTTCGATACATTTTAATATTGCGATTAATTTGAGCAGTAAATGAAATGAGAAAAAGAAAAAGGACTTTTTGCTATAAAATAACAATTTAAATTTTAGAAATATTTTCTAATTATTGAGTCTTTTTGTTTCGCACTGGACGGACTTATTTCATGCAAATGATTATGTAATGTAATAAAATTTTTAAATTTTGTAATAAAATTTTGCTTCTTTTTGGTTTTCCTTTTTTGCTATAGGTAGTTATTAAAAATATGTGGAGTGAAAAAAAAAAGAAAAAAAGATTATTAAAAAATTTTTGCATGTTTGAAATTATAAAAATGGTTTTGAAGTATTAAGTTAATACAAAAGGGGAATTTAATTTCTCAAATTTTCTTTTTTTTTTTAATATTTATCTCTTATAGTGAATATATTATTTTTGATAATAATAGATATGAAAAATTTAAATAAGTAAATGAGTTCAATAATTATTAATAATGCTTTTTATATTTTAAATTCCATTGAATTATTTTTTCATTTTTTATTTGTTCATTTTATTCATATGCAAATTATACGCGACATAAAGTAGCATTAAACAAAACAAAAAAAAAAAGTAATAATTAATATTAGCTAATTAAGGGAAATAAATAAATGTTTAATTAAAATAGAATAATTCTCATTCATTGATATGATTGAAAAATAAAAAGAAAAAACGATTGTGAAAAGATTTAAATTAATCAATCAATCGATCAATCAAGCAATCAATCAATAAATGAAAGAATAAAAATGAGGGAACTATTATTATTATTATTCGTCAATATCGCAAGTTTTTCAAGCAAAAAAAAGCAAAAAAAAGAAAAAAGTTCATTGATCATATCGCCCAATCACATCATTTTCATCCTTCTCACGAGTCTTTCCATCTTAACGCATATAATTATGATTCGATTGATAACAGAGAATAATACGGTATTTGGCGACAAAACGATGACACATATTAACGGCGCTTTTGTATTTCAATTCATTCAAATATTTTTATCTAATACTTACTTTTACTTTATTTAAGTAATTGTATCATTTAAAAATGAAAGTAAATCAATTTTAATAATACATAAATATTAATATATATTTAATTTTTTTTTTTTTGAAGAAAAAAAGAAATTGTTTTTAATTTTAATATTTTAAAATGATATATGAAAAAAAAAAAAAATAGTTGTTGAATGATTATTTGAAAAATACTATGCCTTAATTCTATGCTTCTTAGCTATTTATTCATTTATGTCTTTGCTATTTATGATTTTAAACATTAAAATACATTGTGTTTTAATATTTTTAAATAATTTTAAAAATTTTTGAAGAGAAAAAAGAGAAGCAAATCAACCAGAATTTTCAATGTTTTATTTTTAGGCTATTATATTTTTTAATAAATTCATATTGATGAATTTTCACTATATGTTTTTTCCTTTTTTTTTAAATCTTTAATGAATTGTTGTCAATAAGCAATCGTCTTAGGCACTATTCAATAATAATATTTATTCTGATCAAATGAGTGTTATCACTCGTTATCAATTTAATGACTGATTCATTGATAATCTTCTTTTTTACGATTGACAATTTTTGTTAAATTGAAATTTTATTCTTTTATTTCATTTTATATTATTAAATTTTATTAAATTACAAAATATAATTAAACACAATTTCAACTTAAAGAAGCTATAAATTGATTGAAAAAATAAAATTAAAAGTATAAGAATTAAATATAAAAAAAAATTATATCGATTTGAATATTATATTATTTTCTTCTTCCTTTCTCTGATATTTTTTTTTCGTCTGTTTTCTTTCTTCTTTAAAAATAAAAAAAAAATGAGAGTAAAATAAAAAAGAGGGAAAATTAGACTTAAATTCAACCGTATCCATAGTTGAATGATAAAACGAATGGAAGTTAAATAAATTTACAATTTGAATTAATTAATGAAGAATAAGCTTGAAAGAAGAGACAATTTCAAATAAACAACAATTTTTAATTTAATTTCGTTGATTGACATTACTGTCATCAAAATGTGACAATTACTTTTCATTTATATTCCATTCATACAGAAATACGAACAAATATTATTTTATATTATATTAATACATTGATCCATTTTACATAATTCTCATTTTATTGAGAAATATTTTACATAAATTAAACAATGAACAAAAATTTTTTTTTTGTGTGTATTATTTATTTTTTTTTACTTACATATTATTAAAAAGAATAATGAATAGAAAAATGAAAGATAGAACGAGAAAAAAATAAACAAATATTATTTGGTAATTTCAATTTTTTTTTTTTTTTACTAATTATAATTTTGCTATTTTTGATATTACAGAAAAAATGCTGATAACAATTTTGAAAAAGGCAATCATAATCGTGATAACAAAATGATAATGATATTTTCTAATAATATTTCAATTCAACAATATCAATAATAATATTTCAATTTGAATAAATTGATGAAACGAAAAAAATTGTTTCCTATTTTGAAATTGTTTTAAAATTGTCTATTTATTACCATGATAATGTTTTTTTTTTAAATGATTAACATAATTAAACTATATAATTTATCATCTATTTGTATTTGTTTTACAATGAATTTACAACGACTATATACTATGATTAACTTTATTATTGTATAAGTATAAATATTATAGTATGTGTATTTATGAAAGTAATAAATAAAAATATATTTGAATATATTGCTGTTTAACAGTGTATTAAATCACATACTGATTATGCAATTATCTGATTAATTATTATTAAAATTTCAATGAATTAACAAATGGAAGACATTATTTTCTAATTTGTAATTGTATTAAAAATGCTTCCCCGTCATACTTTTTTTGTAATAAATTGAATTCCAAAAAAAGAAAAATTTTTTTAAAAATCAAATTTAAAATTAAATTTCTTTTTGAATAAAAGATAACAAATATAAATGATACATTCGTATTCATTTGATAGTATGTATTTTGTTTAACAAAGTAAATTATTTATTTACGAAATGATAATTTCATAAGTGTTATCATATATTTTTTAAATTACAGCAATAATAAACTAAAAAAAAATCAACAACATTATCAAATTTAAAATTAAATAATTTTTTCTGAATAAAAAATCAAGCAAAGAAATTTCAAATATTTCGCATATTTTTATGTAAATGAAAAGAGAGAAAAAAAAAGCAATGAGAAGTAAATTATAGTTATAATTAAGTAACATTTTTTTGAAAATATAATAAAAATAAAGAATATAACAAAAAAAATAAATCATATCTATTATATATATTTAGATTTAAAATTCCTACTATTTTATATTTATTCAATCATTTCTAAAAATTTCAAACAACTGAAAAAAGAGAAAAAAAAAAATGAAATTTTTTTTTTTTGTCTTGAAATAAATTTAAACTTGTAGGTTGTAATCAATTAGATGAAAAAATGTTAAGTATCTGTTGCTTCCTAATATTTCGGATACTTAAAAGAAGAGTTTTTGAAGTAACCAAATGTCGCATACGCCAGATATCATCATTGCTGGTCA